GGTTTTTGAGGTGTCGAGGTTATAAGTAATTTGGAACCCATATTACAATGTTAAGGAGTGCTGAAGATATGATGGAAATTTTCAAGTTGAGGGGGGTTTATAATCTTTGACCTATCCGCAAAAACAAGGGGGATTGCACAATGGCACATATATGAACAGAATCAGGTTGGATTTCTAGATTTTTTCATGAGGTCTGATCAATACATAACACACACAAAGAAAGCTGGTACAATATGTGAAATCAAAAGAATAAGATCAAAAAAGCCCTCTCCATGTCCACATGTCCCTGCCCTTGCCAAGGAACTTATGACAGGAAGTTGGAGGATTCAACCTGGCAGGAGACTTTGAGGAGACTCCAAGAATCCTTTGGTTTCTTCTCAAAGAGGAGCTGTCAGGTGTTTGTCTAGCCTTTTACAGTCCATTCCTGTATGATCATAAGTTCACTTGACAAATCAACAAGAATTGACTAATTGTCATTTGACAAAACTCATGGAAACCCAAACTCATTGATCAAACAGATCTATGCTCTTATGGAAACTCCATCAGGATAATCTTGTGACCATTTGATCACAGGACCTGATCATATAAGTTTCTTATGAAAAACCACTCATGGGAATTCAATTGAGAGCAATAAAAAATTGAAAAATGCTAAAGCCTAAGGGACACAAAAATACCATGATGATAGATAAAATACAAAAACACTGATAAGAGATACAAGAACAAGATAAACAATACAACAACCATGACAAAGAACAAGAACAAAAATAATAAATACCAAAACAATGATATAAAATATAAAAATGAAGACCAAAAATATAATAAGGACATTTTTTTTAACAAAACATGAGAGCATTGACATAAGCATGATATATGTTCAAGTAGATAATGTGGTGGAATGTGACAAAGGATGCCATTGTATTTTTTAAATGAAAATACATTTTCATTTGGCATTTATTTCTGGAATCTCCCATGAAGCCTCCTGTGTAGTCTCTGTCTCCTGCCAGGTTGGATCCTCCACCATTCCTGCTTATGACTAATCATGAAATTCTGGTGTGGACACTTCAAGGATCAAATTTTGTTATGTATTTTCTGCATTTTGGTACTTGCCTTACAAAGAAACCTCACTTTACATTGCAGGGGGCCTGCTCACAATTGGTTTCTACATGCTCTTGTAGCCTGACATCATAGACATGCTAAGTCACAATGGTAGTGAGTGGTGTGGCCAAAATTTGGTCTGAGGTCTAACCTAACAAAGTCCCTCTTGGAGGGCTAGCAAGCCTGGGAGAGAGCAACTTATGGGTTATCCACAAGATCTGGCATGTGAGCAAGAAACTTTTGGCTTGTGAGTTTTTCAACCCGCCATAACTTCTTACCCCACAAATAAATAGTCTTTAGACCAAAGAAAGGTCATATGCTCCCACTCTACCTATGCACACTGGTTCTTTGGAATCTCTCTAGTGTTGGTTTCAGGAAAGCACTGCAGAAAGACTTGAAAAATGGGGTTACATGTAACATCTCAGCTTGCCCAGTATGAGCTTGTGACAGGTTGGACACCTTCCTCAGATATTTGGGTTTTTCCGCAAACTTTAGCCTTCCATTGCTGTGCAACAAGTGCATCAAATACACTATTAGATACATGAATGTATCCAGGTTCAGCAGGCACACAGGACCTTTCTTTGATCCAAAGACTTTTCATTTGTGTGCCAAGAAGTCATTGTGGGTTGAAAAACTCCTCAGCCAAAGGTTCTTGCTTGCATACAAAATTTTGTGGATAACCCATAAGTCCCTCTCTTTCAGGCTTGCTTGCCAAGAGGTACTTTGGTTAGGTATGAAGCTTTTTAATATTTCTGCCTGTACAATCTCTGTCTTTGACAGAAAGTCCTAAATTAGATTTAGGGCATGTTCACTTAAGCAATTTCTGGGGAGAAATCACATTCTACAAGATTTAAAGTGTCTATTTGGTGGAGCATGTTTCATTTTTGCATTAAAAAATTTGCAGAATGTGATTTCTGGTCAGAATTTCCTTAAGTGAAAAAATTGCGGACAGTGCGCATACAAGCTGGACACCACTTACTAGTGGGACATAAGCGCTTGAAAAGCAAGCTCAAAAACAGCACGATGAAGAAGGGTTTCCTGGTTTATGAATAGGGAACCACATCTAGAAGACAATTATGAACAACCTTCCTTGCAGCATCAAGTGAGGTTCCTTTGTGAGGGAAGCACAAAAACACGAACAACACTTAGTCCTTGGAGTGTTCACGCCAGAATTTCTCGACTAGTCACAACTCACAAGACCCTCTGCGAGGGCGCGGACGGACGCGGCCGCGCGGAGTGGGCTTTGTTAAGCTAAATTTGAAGTCAAAGTAAGTCAAAGTCGCATGGTGCATTGTCATATGGCGAGGAAAATTTACATACTTGGGATTCAAACCGAGTGGACTTACGCCTACTTTACGCAATCTCTTTGGGTCTCCGCATATGGATGTACTGAGAGCATCCGCACTCGTGCGGTAAGTCGGGTGCGGTAAGGTTAAATTTACCGCAAACGCGGGGTCTTTTCCACACCGGTGAAAAATTAGCCCCGCGGTAGTTAATTTTCGGTCATTTTGCGTTAGCGAATTGGTAAATTTACCAATTGGCTAACGCATGCGGTATCACACATCACGACTTGTTCCCAGTGTAGAACTTATAACCCAACAAGGGTTATACAGAGCTGGAAGAGGATAATCCACTAATAAAATGACTAGTAGAAGTTGTCTAAGGACTGCTCTTCTAAAACAACACAATCAGAAAGAGCTCTGTTGTATTGAGTACTGATAAGGCACCAGAGAAATATATCTTCACACGTAATTTAACTTCAAAAGCACACTTTGTATTACTATCAACACTGCTATAGTGTTATTCCCAATTGATAACTAAAAGAAATAAGCAATATCTGATTGATATTATTCCCAATAAGTCTTTATGACTATAAAACTAAAGTAAATTTCTCTTTATAATTGTAATAAAGGGCGTATTTAAGTGACCAGGTACTATTAAAATAAGTTTATGATGATAAACAAAATAATAATGGCGTAAATGATAAAGAAAAAAAAAGGGGAACAACAGTCCCAAAACCCTCTCAAAGTATATATAACAATGTACTAGAACTTTTACAATGGTCAACAGCCTCAAAACCAATCAAATCCGCCCAAAATTCCCTAAAAACCCTATGATGACGCAATGTAATGATTTTGTTACTAATAAATGATGTAATTTTCACAGCTAAAAGTGATCAATGACGCAATAATATGATGTACAGCACTTCTTATGATGAATACAGGTGATTTTTTCCTTGTAAACTAGCTGAAAACCAATTTTTGAGATTACGAATTTTTTCAGATGTGCTCCAATTTTTGATTACTAAAGTGCATCTGTAGC